CTGGTAACTTTTTAAACCATATATCACACTAGACTCCATTTTGAAAAATGAAAAAACAAACGACTCAAAAAATACAGGGTTAGAGAAAAAGGTGAACGACATGAAATTTGTAAGTATTCATGTTTGAAACTCTATTTTCAAGTGAAACTTTCTTTTTCATTGAAATACTAAATATGAAGATCTTTGAATAATACATTATCTTTGAAGATCTCCCAGTTTCTTTTTTTATTATTTATTTTAACTTTGAATTCAGCAAAATGGGTAGAAATTCAAACTTTTGGCCTCTCGGTCAAAAATTGGACTCATCTTCATTTTAGTTAGAAATTGGGAGAAATTGGGAGGTGTTTTCATTTTTAAAAGGCACTTAAAAATACAGCACAAAATGGGGCATAGACTACGCTTTGATTGATTTTGAATGAAGAAAGTTAGAGGAGGTGGGTCTAAGAGAGCTGTTCATCCAGACAAAGGTAAAATTATAGGAAACAAAAGATAGGATATGCAAATAAAGAACGGGACAGAATTAACTGTGGACTCATTGTCAATAAAGCCCCTTAAACAAAGTGGAAGATCCAGTTGTGATGCAATTTTGGTGAGGTTGGTAATGACAGCATTTTGCCATTACCTCACCTCACCTCACCATCCCCACACCTTCGGAAAATGTAATTTTGTTGACACACTTTTAATGATTGTGCTTTCAATTATATGAACTTTTCATGTTAAGCTAGTGGTAACTTTATATTACATTAATAAGGTTTTATATTTTCTGGAGCTAACTGCATATAGGTGTCTTTGTCACAAGGCAGGGAATTATATAGATACACCTATCGAACCATGTTGATAGATAGTACACAACTCTAGCGCACCTTTTTGTTGGATCATTTATTTGGAACGATGAAATCCAAAACAAGTAGTTTGTTGATTGATTAACCTAGAAGAATAGTTACAGCCCCATTTTAAGCCTTGTGGAGCCATCAATTTTGTGGTTTTTATTCACTTTAGCAATATTAGATTATGATTAGCAATATTAGTGTTCCTACTTGAGATAGTTATGATTAGCTTTAGCTTTCACCATCTTCTAGAGAGGAAAAAAGAGAAACAGGAAAGAAAATGGTAATAATTGATGTTGTTGTGCCACTTAACTGTGTCTAAATCGGCTTAAGAAGAATCCAAAACCCTTCCCAAGACGAACTCCAAGATCTAATTAAAATTATCCTTTGTTCTGGAATTGCAGGCTGAGAAAGAGGAGAGGGATTACTTGAAAATTAAAATAGAAACAGCAATTGCAGGTCTTAATGATCCACATAGCCCCATGAGTATCTGAGAGTTGGAAACTGGTTCTCTCACTCCCTGATCAGAGTTTTCCATTTTGCTCTTTCTTGGGGTTGTCGTCATGTCACATGATTTGTTTTCCTTGATGAGAGAGTTCTCCTTTCAGGAGTTTCCGAGAGTTTTTTTCTTGGTCCAAGAAGATATCAAATGTAAGAGTGTAGAATCTTCCATGTAAAATTGTCCATGTCGAATGGTTTGAATGAGTATCAACACAATAATGTGCTTGAGTTTCTATATTTTCTGGATCTACGATATTCCTCAATCATCATCAAGGTTGCAATATATCCAATTCTCGACACTTTTTTATGAAAAAGAAGAGTGAACTTCGCCTATTCAACCAATCTGTAATACTGGGAGTGTGACATAATAAGAGAAGATATTGAAATGGGTTGACATACCTCAGGAATGGTCTGAACTCCTGTTGTTTCACCCTGATGTACGAAGCGACCATCTAAGGATAAAAGATAAGGAAAAATAGTGAAGGTCAGTCTAAATGATAACTAAGTATTGAGAACATGGGTCTGATACCACGTTTTTCAATCAATCATGGATCAAATAGAACTATGATAGTAAGACTAACGTAGAACAATTTTTCAAGCCTTGAAGACAAAATTGTAAGACTTTCAAATTCATGGATCAAATAGAACTATCATTCAAATCTCACAGACCAAAAAGATCATTTTACTGGCAAAATGAAACAATGTAGCTTAAAACATATGTGATTCAACTCGAAGACGGAGAACTAAGGGAGCTTAAAACATAATCTCCTGGATGAGCGTTGGATTTCAACAGAGTCGTTGAAATCCCTCATTCTTGAACATAGAAGAAACCGTGTGGCAAAAAGTTCTAATGAGCCATTCCTGTTAAAAAATTGCATTAAGACCAAAAAAGTGTTCATATCTGTAGAGCACATGAATTACGTACCATAGTAGCAGGATATCTTTAGGGATCACCAGCCATAGTTTCCTCGTGTTTCAGCCTTTGTTTGTAGACCCCTCGCACGCCTCTCGGTTAATTCTGTCTCTTTTTGCTTCATATCATAATACAACGAAGTGATTTGATGCTTTCTCTTGTGCAACTTTGAAGGCTTCCCCTTTGTTGAGGTAGGCTACAGAAACGGAGATGCAGGCAAACATAACAGTGCAGTAGAGATAAAATTATTTTTTATGAAAAAACTTGACACTTTTATTTGAGAAAAAAAATGGATGAAAGAATTCAAGGGCCCACAAAAAGCTGACAACCTACCCAACTCATCCTATAATTCCTTCCTGTCTGTCTGGGAGGCCCATAAACTCCAGGCACCCGAGGACACTGAAAAGAACCCTCTAACCACTCCCAAATATTTGGCAATTGAGGCGTCCCATATTATGATAATACCTCAAAAGGTGTGAGATCCCTACCTCGGACACATTTTAAAATCGTGAGGCTGCTGACAACGATATACAACAAGCTAAAACGGACAATATCTACTGGGGTGAGTTTAGACTGCATCTTTCTTCTGGACAATGACCTCTTTAACCGATCTCCTGCTCCTTACACCTCAAACCTCTTACATTCCAAGAAATCACTTCCATTTTAAACAATGTGAAACCCTGCTTTTTATCTGTTGTTTTCCTTCCCTCATAACTAACGGACCACTGCAATCTCTTGAGCTCCTTATCAGCCAAAATTAGAGAAGTGGGTCGCAAAGGATAAGTCTTCCCTTCCTTCTCATGCCAATTGGAGAAAAAGAACAACTTTAGATTTCTCACATACATTGACTAATCTCACAACCCAACTACATTTAGCTGCAAAATTATATTTTTCAAAATACTTAGCCACCAGCCACGACATTTGAACCCAAAACCCTATATATTTATGCACAAAAATCCAAATAAAAGCTCTATGGAAGGGCGATTTCACCATCCTAGCGCTACATAACATAGAACCACATTGTATGTTATTGGCGATGAAGTTATAAGTGACATACCTGGTAAGAAGGACCAGAAGCAATTCCAGTTAACTTGACCTGGTCCTGCCTCGGTCGATTCTTAATCAAGTCCTCCTGCTCCACCTCAAGTATTTCCGGCGGAACCTCATTCCTTCTTCTCTTCTCAGGTATTCTAACAGCATTTTCAGTGTCCACCATTGCGGGCTGACAGCCAGGGTCACTCCCGTATGGGATGCGATCACCATAGTTACCATGACTCTCATAACTTTTATAGTCACTAGCGATCGTAGCTTGCATAATTCCATGCATTTTGTTCTGCACCGAAATGGTAAGTTGCAGCATTCTCGTTGTTCTCCCCGGGATTAGCATCATTCTGCTCAACGCCTCTGTAATTTACAAAACTGTCGTAGTTTTCAGTACTGTGATCAATCTTTTGAGTGCTGCCCGAATTATCAGAAGACGATACCCGAACATCTGTATCGAGAATCGATCTTCGCCGAGAGCCTGAACTCGAAATAACTCCCAACGTTGTCGAATTCCATGCATTTTCAACGTTGTCGAGGATTGAGATGCCTTTCTGCGCCTTATTTCTTCTTCTTCTTCATTGTCGTCGTCGTCCTCCTCGTCTTCGTCCAATTTCAGCAAAGAAGAGTTAACGGGTGGCTTAAATACGACAACCTTTTTTTGGCTGGGACTCCGAGGATGAGGGATTTGATTTAGGTTCCTGCAACTTCGTCGAATTAGGTTGTGGAAGGGAAGAAAACATGGATACTGATTCCGTGAGATCACCGTCACCGGTACCATCCATCACCATCAAATCGAGAACTAGAAATCGAAATCGAAGACTTCGTAGGGCTCCCCATGGGCCGTGGAAGGGAAGAGAAAAAAGAGGAAGGTTTAATCGAAGCGGCACCTAATTTTGTTGCCGAGAGCGAATCTCCTTCCTCTACGTCTTCGTTATCATCGTCAAAGAAACCAGTTGGCAGAGAAGGCAGGAAGATTGTTTGGGCTGGGGAATGGATTGGAAGAGGGAAGAAGATTTAGGCAGGGCGGAAGAGACGAGGAGAAAGATGAGTTTCTCTGAGGCTTGCTAATTGAAGACGGTGGCTGCTGCGGCGGTTGGTGGTGTTGCTGCCGTTCTTCGTCGTCGTCGGTGGCGTAGTTGGCTAACAGTGACTCCATGAGAAGCGCAGAGAGACGGAGAGATGGCGGGCTTTGGGAAGTAGCGACGCGGTTTTCTTTTTAAACTGACTATTATTATTATTATTATTATTTTTTTAAATTTAATCTTAAATGGTTAGATGAACAATATTATCCAACATAAACTCTAATGACTTTGGTTTGGGATAATAACTCTAATGACTTTGGTTTGGGATAATAACTCATCAGGATCCTCGCAAGGTTGATAATAGTGAACAAACCATCCCTTAAACCCTAAATAAATTAAAGTTTGGGATAATAACTCTAATGACTTTGGATTGGGATAATAACTCATCAAGATCCTCCCAAGGTTGATAATAGTGAACAAACCATCCCTTAAACCCTAAATAAAATTTTAATTTCTCGTCCTTAAAAGATGAGATTTTTCACAAATGTTTGGTTCTGAATTGAAACGATTTGATAAAAATATTGGATTATAAATAAACTTTTGTTTGATTCTTTTTGATAAATTCTTCCTCCTTCGCGCCAATTCTGTCTGAAAATATGTGTCCATGCCCTAATTTCTGTTCCTCTTTACAAGTGCGTATTGGCAACAAGTTCTTTCTCCAGCTCGTCGCGTTCTAACAACTGGCGATCTAGCTTCTGTGGATGGATTCTTCAGTGGAGGATTGTTCTTCCGATACGCTTGGGTTTATGGAGCTTGCTATTCTTCAGGTGAGTAGCCTTCCTGTCGAAGACGGTGAATTTTTGTTTCATAATACTCTCGTTTAACTGTTCTGATTTCGTTCCAAATAGCTCCAGGCTCGTTGGAGTTCGCATTTTTTTAACGAATGCTTGACCGTTGTTGATTGAAATATTTACATGGTATTTTGATCCCTGGGTCCAATTTTTGTATGAAATATAGTTCTTCCTTTGATGATTCTATCCCATGCGGGTATCCTTGAAATTGTTGGTTCTAAATCATACTTTTTCGTGAACGTTGGGATCATGGGAATCAAAAATCAGTATTTGGGGGTTGAGGAAAATGGAGACCGGAAAATTTAAGATTAGGTTTGGCTGGGTGGAAATGTGAGATCCTACATCGGTTGGAGAGGGGAACGAAACAAAGGATATGGAAACCTCTCTCTAATTGACATATTTTAAAACTGTGAGGTTGACGGCGATATGTAATGGAACAAAGCAGATAATATTCGTTAGCGGTGGGCTTAGGCTGGAGTGTGTCTATATCAGATTTGGAACTGAGACGAGTGAGTTCGTTTATGGCCGTCTATTTTTGGATGGGGTTGCTTGTTCTGTTCATCTGAAAGCTTCTTCTAGACACATTATATTGTCATCCAACTTAAATGTTTGTCTTAACGGTGGAGATTTATTTATGTTATATTAACTCAATACTTTTCCATGTCATGGCAGGCCAAACTCGCACTAAACAGCCTTGAAGTGCCTGTGGGGTAAGCTTTTGTCTTTTTTTTACCATTATTGCCGGCAAGATCTGCTGTGTTGCAAATTGAATTTACCGTTTGATGCATTTTCAAGAGGAGGATGTATCAACATTCCACCTCTATGCGCATGTTGACAAATAATTCTTGCTTTAACCCAAGGGTTGAAACTAAGTTGAAAATGATTATTCTTCTTCTAACTTGAATCAAATGAAGAGATTGCTGTTATCTAATTATTCTTGTTGTTCAGCTGTGTGATTGTTGAAGATGGGATGGTCATTGCCACTGGAAGAAACCGCACTAACGAGACCCGAAATGTAATCCATCATGGTTCCTATCTTTTTCCCACGTTTTCTTAATAAACATAATTTTCAATGTTAGTTTGTGGTTGACGTCAATTTAAGGCAGCCTTTTTTGGGTTCTGTTCATTTATCATAAGCTCGAACATAAGCTAGCTAGAACATCTGCACTATCCCATTAAAAAGAAAGAAGGAAGAATTACAATGTTAAACCTGCTTCTGTAGTTTAGATTTAAAGGAAGGGTACACGGGCATTACCCCAAGCCCGTTTTGCTTACAATGTTTATATGCTTTCTTCTGTACGCTGTAGGCTACCAGACATGCAGAGATGGAAGCGATCGATATCCTGATTGAGGCATGGCAGAGGGATGGACTTTCAACCTCAGAAGTGGCTGATAAATTCTCGAAGTGCAAACTTTATGTTACCTGTGAACCATGCATTATGTGTGCTTCTGCCCTATCAATACTCGGTATGTTTTCTTTACCCTTTTATTTTATTTTTCTCGTTTCTCATTCCAGAGGGGCAACTGTTTGCCAAGAGGGTCATAGGTCATTGTTACCTTTCACTTAACTTCACTGAATATGGTTTATTCATTGTTAGTGGATCTCCTGTTTTAGGTATAAAGGAAGTATATTATGGTTGTGCAAATGATAAATTTGGTGGATGTGGATCTGTATTGTCGCTTCACTTAGGTAGCCGGGAGGCGCCTACAAGGTTTGTTTCTTTATCTACCATGATCAGATTTTAGTTTTGGGGCGATGATCTCTTTGTTCTTCTTGAACACACTGCTGCAGTTAGTTGTTCACCTTTCCAAATTGAACTATATTTTTATGTAATTGTCTTTTAAATGCTTGCAAGCTATCAATTCACGTGCTTCCTTTTAACTGGATATTCTTCAACGATAGGTTAAGTATTAAGAGAACCTAAATTCATCTAGCATTATTTACGTTTTGCACTATCCTCCCACATGAAGAAAATGTTAGTTTAGATTTTTGGGAGGGCTGATAATTTGAAATCGTAAAGGAAGTTGTAACGGCCCAAGCCTACCACTAGCAGATATTGTCCTCTTTGGGCTTTTCCTTTTGGACTTCTCCTCAAGGTTTTTAAAACGCGTTTACAAGGGAGAGGTTTCCACACCCTTATAAAGAATGATTCGTTCTCTTCCCCAACCAATATGGGATCTCACAATCCACCCTCCTTCGGGGCCCAGCGTCCTTGCTGGCACACCGCCTCATGTCCGCCCTCTATCAGGGCTCAGCCTCCTCGCTGGCACATTGCCTGGCGTCTAGCTCTAATGCCATTTGGAACGGCTCAAGCCCACTGCTAGCAGATATTGTCCTCTTTGACCTTTCCTTTATGGCTTCCCCTCAAGGTTTTTAAAACGCGTCTACTAAGGAGAGGTTTCCACATCCTTACAAAGAATGCTTCGTTCTCCTCCCCAACCAATGTGGGATCTCACAGAAGTCCTTTCCTATTCGTCTATTAATTTATGTATTACCTTTCAAAGTCATGATCTAAATCTCTTTAATTTGTTACGACAGTAGTAATGGGCAAGGAAGGGGATTCAAATGTACTGCAGGAATTATGGCATCCGAAGCAGTTGCTCTTTTTCGAACTTTTTACGAACAGGGGAATCCCAATGGTATGTGGAATCATTTGATAAACTGATCTGCATGATTTGCATATTTGTGAGATTTTAGCTCTCTTGGATCGAGAGACAGAAAAATTTATTGCATCTTAGAGGTCTCATTGATAGTGGTAGTGTTTTTTTGCAGCTCCAAAGCCTCACAGGCTCCTTGGTAACCATCAGGCGGGTCAATGAGAGAAATGAGGTCACTTTTGCTTATGATTCTGTTCCTGTCAAAAGAGCTTTTGAAACTGGCAAAGGCATCCCCATGTAGTTCATATCTCAAACAATGGAGTTTTGAGCTTGAAGGTACCAACCTCGAGGTCATTGCTATACAATCTGAGAGTATGATATTTCTATCCACTTAGCATTGGTAACTGCTACCTGAACTACTCCTGTATATATGTTTATAACGATTCAAATGTTCTCTCAGATTGTAATTAAATGGTTTACATCTACTGTGACTCAATTTTCAGCATCAACCAGAAAATATTCCTCGAATCAAATGTCTGCAAATAGATTATGCTGGAAATTCATATTGGTAGGGGGGTAGTAGTGATTGAAGCAGAGATGTTGATGTGTGAGGAACGAGAGAAGATTGAAGAGAAAACAAAAGACCTGAGGAAAATCTTCCACAGAATATGGTGGCTTACAATTATCACTTTCTAGTGCCTAATATGAGCTTAGTTCAATAGTTTAGGTATCTCTACTTCTTTCCATCGTCATAAACGCAAGTGTATTGAACCATTTATTTGTCACAACTTGTGCACACATGTTCCTAACACGGACCATTTTGTTGACGGAATCAAGTATCGTTTGTATTCTCCATTAGTGTCTATACTATACGTTACTCAAAATAAATCGACCTCCGATACGTTGTGTATGTTGATTTTGAACAGTTGTCACTAAACGATTGTAACAATAATTCTTGAATGATTATTCACGTGATTTGAACTTTGATCTAAAAGATATATAAATGTGATTGTATAAGCGAATGTAATCTATAAAAGGAAGAATTGGATGTTTAAATATACAATTTTTTTTTTTTTTGGCAAGTTTCATAGGCTTTGTCCACCCGTACAAAAGCCCAATGAATTATAGCTGTCAAATACACACCCATTGGGAATCATCAATTATTTTTGGTCATTCTTCATCTCTCTTTGTAGAGCTTTGCATTTTACAAACGAGACTGCTCCAATATGCAAAATGGGTGATCTTCACAGCCAATATGAAAACTTGCGTCTTTTCTACTACATAAGCACAGATGTTGTCTTCTCTGGAATATAAAAGGAAAAAAAATGGGCAATAAAAGCGCATAATTTTGAAGTAGATGAATCCGGGATTCTGAGTGGGGAAGGAGCAGAAGAGAAGCGAAGCATTTTCACAACTGGGCTGATCATTCAAAAGAGCTGGCTGATCGTATGCTTCTTCTGGTTAGTTTAATCTTTTCCTCTCTACTTAGGAATCGGAAACAAAGCGTAGTTTAATCTTTTCCTTCAATCGCTGGTTGCTTGTGTTTAAACTTCATTTGTTATTTGAATGGATTCTTCAGCAGTATTTGAGTATTATAAAACGCTCTGCTATGATAGATTTTCTGGTGTGGCTGTTCTACTCGACGAAACCTTAAGAATTACATGCCGCAGTCTATTACGATATAAATTTGTATAATATTGTTCTTCATGCTGCTCGATAATGTGAAGTTGGATGGCTGGTTATTATTCGTTGAGTATGAACATTTAGGGTTAAATGTTTTGGAGTTGGGAAGATAGGGCCGAATAGACAGATTTTGGTGAGTTCCTGATTCTAGATGAATGATCGGATGTGCTCCACTTCTCAAGAAATGCTTATTTTGTTTGCTCTTGAAATTCGCAGATGTGCCGCCATTGTGATGGATTCTCTCATAATGGATGCAGAAAAGCTGGGCCAATCGTAGAGGAAAACAAGAACGATGGTGATTTTCTTTGCTTAAATTCTTCTAGGGCCTTTCCCCAGATATCAACTGTTAGTGCGATGCCTGAAGATTCAAAATATAATGTGGTATACACGAGAAGAAAACTGCGAGGCAATTCTGATTCCAGGTTGTGGGCTATTGAGACAGATTGTATATCTTTGATTAGTTGCGATGGTCAACAAGCTGCAGCTTCTCGACATAACCACAAAAGGAAAATTGTTGGAAATGTTTTCCCTTCTTTTCCTGTTTACGATGGAAAAGCTCGAGTTTCAGAATGGGAATCGGTCGATGGTTGTACAATTGGGGATGGGCACGGTTCTGAGAGAATGCTTAATAATGGCCTGCAAAAAAGTTTGGAGGTTGATAGCATAAATGATAGCTGCTCGTCATCTAAGTCGAACATGGAACTTGTTTCGACTTCGAAGAAAGTTGAAGTGGATGACACAGGTGAGTGCTCCTCTTCTAGTATTCGAGTTATGGAGGATATGGAGGAGGATATATCAGGAAGAGATCTATGCATCTCTATCCTTAGAAGCAATGGACTTTTGTCTTCTATGGCTCATGCTTCTGAGGAAGAAAGTGATTTTAGAAGCGAAAATAATTGTTTTCGATTGTGCAAAACTTGTGGCTCTTCGGATTCAGTCTTGAAGATGTTAATTTGTGATCATTGTGAAGATGCATTTCACGTCTCGTGTTGCAATCATCGCATGAAGAAAGTGATGAATGATGAGTGGTATTGCAATTCATGTCTGAAGAAGAATCATAAAATTTTGAAGGACGTCATTATGAAGAAATTGGCGAACACCTCGAGTAGAAATGGATATTCTAAGGGCGAATCAAATTCCGTAGCATTGATGTTGAAGGACACAGAACCTTATACAACTGGTGTTCGGATTGGCAAAGGTTTTCAAGCAGAAGTCCCAGATTGGTCTGGCCCGATATCGGAGTATGTTATTTTCTTCAATTATATAGTTTTTCTTCATACAAACATGAAATACATTAAAGAAGTTAGATTATAATCAGAAAAAAGTTACATTTACACCAATACAGAGCATGCAAGATAATTAAACCAATAAAACTATCAAAAGTAGAGAAAGAGTCTGAAGAGTTCTGTCATTTCTTTCGCCCCAAAGGAACCAAATGATAACTCTAATGAAGGCAAGCCACAAAGTCTTCACACCTCGGAAAAGATGACCGACCTCAAGAACGGAGGTAAGAAGATCATAAATGCTATTGGCAAATGTAAGGACCACCCAAAAGCATCTAGAATTAGAGACCAAAATCTAGAAGCAAAGGAGCAATGTGCAAAAAGATGATAGAATGCTCGTAATTAGATGCACACACAATGCACCCAGATGGAGAAGATAAAGATAGGATATACACCTTTGTAGTCGATCCACTGTATCAATAGCACCAAGACTAAGGTCCCAAAAGAAAATTTTAATCTTCTTTGGGGAAACATCTTTCCAAAGAGATTGAACTGTGTTGGATGAATTAAGGGGCCAATATGTGGATTGTGAGATCCCATATCGGTTGGAGAGGGGAACGAAACATTCCTTATAAGGGTGTGGAAACCTCTCACATAGTAGACGCGTTTTAAAACTGTGAGGCTGACGGCGATACATAACGAGCTAAAGCGGATAATATCTGCTAGTAGTAAGTTTAGACCGTTACAAAACAGGAGTCATTAATAGTTAGGATATTGACCAGGTATAAGGAAGTTAGGGAAGTGGTGTCATAAGGTGGCTGACTAACACTACGCCAAGTTATTCTATCTAGCCGACCCACTCACTTCATGTTTGTTTTGATCCATAGGAGGGCGACCTTGATGATATAGGAAGAAAAGTTTTCCTTTCATTTAGAAGAAGACAAGAAATTTTCGAGTATTCTTGTTAAGGAAACATATCCCTGCTCTCTAAATGGCTTTAGAGATTTACCATGGAAAAGGAGGCTCATTGGAAGAAGGTGGTGGCTGTCAAGTATGGTGTCCTCAAATGTGGATGGTGGTCTCTCCCTAATATCACCATGAAGTCAGGAGGACCTTGGAGAGATATACTCAAAGTTAAAGATGTGTTGGCTTCTAGAATTAGCTTTATTATGAGTAATGATCTTAATACCAAAATGTGGGAGAATAACAAGAACCTCATTATCAATCAAGTTTGCAACCCCTCGTATGCTACGTGGGACCTTAGTTTGTAAGAAACCTCAATGATTAGTTCGCTCCCGGACTCCACCCCCTCAAGAGAAGGATGCTGGCCGAGGTAGAGCTGGCTCCAGCTTAACCTATACTTTCTTGAGGCTTGCCCCAACATCTAACATCTAAATCAATTGTTGGCAGGCTAGAAAAGGAACTAGCCCAGCCTCTAAAATCAAGCTTTGCGTGGTATGCCCTGCCTATTCACTCGGGCAATGCTCTGAACACGTAAGTGTGCAGTTCCGCCCCCTTCTCCCATGTTGAGTCACAGGCAGCGCCTCGGAAAGCACGGACAAGCCTCATGCTGGGAAACTTGACTGAACCACCAACTTAAAATTTTTGGTTCATTAAGTGATTTAACATGATACTAGATAAGAGATCTATGTTCACACCCCTGTATTTCATTTCCTTTCTGATTAATATTAATTTCCACTTGTTGGGTCTTCTACAAATTCTCAAACCCACAAGTGAGGGGAGTGTTAAATTATTGATACAAGACTAAATTTACAGTAGTCTATAACCCATAAGTGAGGCGTATAGTGGCATAAGCTACTTGAACCCGAACCCGAACCCTGTTAGTTATCTCAAAGAGAAAAGTAAAGATAAGAATTACATTTCTTACAATAGAGCCTTTACTTGACATGATAAGGAGAAAATATGCATTTCTTCCATTTCCTTATAGCATTTATTTCTTTTGGGCTGATGTAGTGATAATGATGCCATCGGTGAGCGACTGGAAATGCATCCTTCAGAACCTTTGCTAATGCATGTAAGGCATCGATTTGCTTGTGTTAATTTTCATTCAGTAACAGAGTTTGTAAATCAATGAAAAAATAGTGACTTGGCTTTCTACTTCCCGACCAACAAAACATTAGGAGCTGAGTACCAATAAACCTTGTAGATCGAGCACTATCGGAAATTGGCTTCAATGTCAACAAGTTATGAACGGAGTGGGCGGTGTTAATTCAACCATTTGTGGCAAGTGGCGCAGGTTAGGAAAATGATCTACTCTCTCCCTAATATCTTGTTTGCATTTTGGAACATAAAATTTGTTCTACATGATCCCATTTGCCATTACATTAACAAGTTCACTTGTTTCTGCTCAACTTTGTTCATGATTTTGAATCTTTAGTTGATTTTGTGAACGTGCCAAATCCTGAGTTACGATTTATTTTTCATTTAAAACTTGGCATCGTAGGGCTCCTCTTTTCGAAGTCCAAACTGATGACTGGGAATGCTTCTGCTCCATGCTTTGGGATCCAACACATGCTGATTGTGCTGTACCTCAGGTGAACTGACCTCAATACTGGGTCTCTCTTTTGATCTTGTGTACATAGTTCTTGGCAACACCATGCTCTTTTAGGAATTCGCATTATTTTCAAATGGCCATAGTAAAATCTTGGATGCTCATTCATATGTTTATTATTCGGCAATATGGCACCTAACATCTCAAGATGTGAGATCCCATATTCATTGGAGAGGAGAACGAAGCGTTCCTTATAAGGGTGTGGAAACCTCTCCTTAGTAGACGCGTTTTAAAAATTGTGAGGCTGATAATGATACATAACGAGCCAAAGCAGACAATATCTGCTAACGGTGGACTTGGGTCGTTACAAATGGCATCAGAGTTAGACATCGGACGGTGTGCGAGCGAGGAAGCTGGCCCCCAAGGGGGTGAATTGTGAGATCCCACATTGATTGGAGAGGAGAACGAAGCATTCCTTGTAAGGGTGTAAAAACCTCTACCTAGTAGACGTGTTTTAAAAACCATGAGGCAGACAACGATATGTAACGGGCCAAAGCAGACAATATCTGCTAGCGGTGGGCTTGGGCTGTTACACAAGATTTGCCTGTGGAAGGAGCGTTCAAAAACATTTTTTGGTTATCTTCTCAACCCGTGTAGTTCTAAGATTCCCGTAGATTTCTTATCACTACCCACCTACATAGTATATTAAAACTTCAAACTCACAACCAAATATAGTAAGGTAAGACAATTGTTCCATGAGATTAGTTGAGCTCTAAATAGAGGATTTGGGCTTCTGTATTCATTAATTATTATTACCAAATTCATTTGTGAGTCATATTTTTCACTGAGAGAGCTTTGTGCTCCATTATTGCAGGAACTGGAAACGGTTCAAGTTTTAAAGCAGTTGAAGTACATTGAGATGGTACTGTCATTTCTCTCACGTAGTATTTACACTACATGTGCTTTTGTGTATGGTTCAGATAATGTTAATTCCTCTCTCTCTCTCTGTCACTGTAGTTGAGGCCTCGGTTAGCTTCCAAAAGACGGAAATTGGATGAGACCAAGAGCAGAAGTGATGTGCAGAACCTTACAGAACACAAAACTTGATATGGTGAGAACTGCTTGATAGTTTCAAGTGTCATAACACCATATTTCTTACAAAATCAAGCCATTCAGATTAAAATCGAGTCGTATTCTCTACTTCGAGAAGCATTGTGATAGTAATATCTTGTATGTTGTAAATGAATGACTAAATATGATGTGTTAGCCATTTACCCTCTTCTTCTGCTGCCTTTTTGTCTCTTTTTCTCTTGGAGAACGTCTGTTAAGAGAAAAGTGGGTAAATGGGAGTTGCTTTTTGTTGATGAGTAGAGAAATGAGATGGAATAGTTCAAGATCTTTTGCACTTCTGTGTTTATCTTAGTTGCTGAAGTTTGATTGAATACTGATAGATAGTAAAGTACTTAAACGATATCGTTTATTTCCAATCTTTTCCTAGGGAGTATAGTTTCATGGGCTTTGGGGTGTGATTTTGACAGCAGAAGTGTTGGAACTAGAGAAGTCTGGATTGTCCCTTTGTTGAAAATGTCTCAAAATATACTGTAGGGGAGGCACAGGCACAGTATCAACTCTCCACCATCTTTGGGCCCTGTAGCCTAAGTGAGCTACTTGTAGTACATGCGTGGGTCACAGTAAGGGCAAACGTGCCGAGATGAGTGTCTTGAGCGACCTCCTTTGAAATTGGTTGTAAGGGGAAGACAAAAATGAGAACCAAGAAGACAAAAAAATTTAAGACTAGTTGTCTGATGTTCGATGTGAATATTCATTAAAAATAATCTATCAGAAGAGAGATTTTCACCGAAAAAAGTAATCGACCTAATGTTGTAAATCAGTAGTGTATATATAGGACGATGGAGTGTAATGCCTTCAAATGGGGGAGTTGCTTGTCTTGCTAATATAGCAAGTATCGAAGGTATTGTATTTATTTGTTATTTTCCAATTCTGTACTGAATCAGAAAATGATATGATCCCTACCTTATTGACCGCAACTTCTGTATTTATTATTGAGTATGTAAACTTGTTTATCACACCCGACCCTCCCAAAAATTGGAGCTCACAAGAGAAAATAGTTTAACTCATTAATTTTACCATAATTAGAGTCCAATATCTTTGCACGAGTCCACAATCACTTTAATAATTGGCTGCTTCCCAGCATTTTAATAGAATTAGAAAATGTAACATCATTGTAATCCTTGAGATTACTTTTAACATCTTGAAGAAATGAAAGACAACCATTTGCATTTGAAGCCAGCAGCAATAGTATTGTAGGCCATTGACAAAGCACGGACCAGAGAAATATGAGTATGGGGGAGGATCGTGTGCAAGAAAGTAAACAAAACAACCATGAACTTGTTCTGCGACTCAAAGATGGTTGCCATATATGATTAAAAACTCACAGAAAAGTCTGTTTATTTCCTCAATGATTGCAAGTTTCAGCCAGTAGCAAACAAGATACAGAAACAATCGGGAAACAAATTATTGACCAGAGACACCTTTGAGGCACCTTCACCCTGCAAAAATAACAAAAACGTATAAAAGGGAAGTTTAGGAATACAATTGAACTAAATCTGAATCTCCAGCATCAAAAGAGACGTGATTTTACGATACAGTCACAAGTATAAGTATAAGCAAGATTTAAGAGCCTGCACAAACAATCATGCTAGGAAAAAGCATACATCTTGTGTTTTTTTGGTAATGGGGAGGTTATCACAACCCAAGTCAACTAGAACCAACTCAAAACCAAATGACTTTGGATGAGGATTGATTTAAGTCTTCGATCGTTATAGGTATCCAAAATACAATCGAGATGGATGTTTGTTGTCCCAACCATTTTTCTAAGTTCCGATCCCTATAGGAAAAGGGATAATTTATAACAAAGTTTTCATGTCGTTGATTCCTAGGTGTAGTGCTTCTTCCCCTCTACTACCTATTTTTACTAGTGGAGTAGGGTTGACTTAATCCATAGGGTACACCATTCGCTCCATCTGCAGTTACTTGCACAGAATACACTGAAAAAAGGCTTAAACTCTGCCAAGGTAATCCATACTCAGACACCTAGCATGGTACTTTGTTGCCTTAAATATCCTTTAGATACTTGTTACCGTACTCTTGCAATCACCCTACTATCGCCTCCCCGCTAGGCCATGTAAGCAGTCAAAGCACAAAAGTTAGTCTTGGTGGCACCAACATTCCAGGAGTTAAACGTCAAGCCTACAAGCCTATGAGTTTTGTAAAGCCAAGTACATATGCCCTTAGGGTCATGTTATGGGCTGTAAACCTGGAAGCTTTACATTTGAGAAGTCATATTCAAGGTCAGCCAGACACAAACAACTCAAGACCACAGGCTGTGCCAGAATTAGAAGAAAGCACCTAAAACAGGTTCTATGAGAACAAAAAACATAAATACAGATAATGCAACAATCTACTGGAAATGGGTTTGGTAATATAAACAAGAGAATAAATAAATAAAACCGAAAAATGTAATAGATCCTTTTAATCCAAATAGTTGGTTCGGGCAGGGAAGAATAACACATTCTTCGACTATAGTTTCTTTTTCTCCAGATCAAAATGGCGTGAGAAAAATAGACGCTTGGAAGATTTCACGATACAAAAAGGAAAAACTTCTATAAATGTATCATGTGCTGAATGCTCTCATAAAATTAACAGACCACACGGGAAACAGTATGCATTACTAGTAATCACACAAACAAAACAAAACAAAAAAGAAGGTTGACTAAGAAGATCATTTGAGTACCAGCATCGAATAAATACAACATGATCATTGGTTTACGGGTCCAAATCTCAGAAAATGAAGGGGAAACAAACAAAAATCAGAGGAAACAAACTGAATCGCGGCAACCAAAGTTAGTTGACACGATAATGACAATGAAAAACGGAAACAAATTCCACCTATCCGAGAGTATTCGAAGTTTCAGAACAAAAATATCCATTTCAATAGATGCATGACCCAACTCTAATCGATCAATCCATGAAAAACCCGTCTATAGAAATCATAATTGCTCAACCTAATGTAAACACAAACACTGCACACTGAAATCCATACCTCAAAAGATAAAGAACTCAATCAGTGGCCACCATGCTCTTTGGCGTGTTGCTGATGTGCAAGATGGCGCCGTTCCTCAGGGAGCGCCAAAAGATAGGAAAGGATCATACCGCCAAAGCAAACATGGAGCAGAGGGTCAATAGAACCGGTCTGAATATACTTCGCGTTATAATTGTCAAGACCTCTCTGCACTGCCTTCTTAACATAATCAACGGAGAGCATCGGCTTCACGTACGCCGGCAGCTCCTTAACTTTCAAACCCTTAATTTCGGAGTAGAATTGCCTCATTGCCATCTCTGCCTCGAATTTCAGAGCAAACCAAAACCAAGCCCTAGCCCTAAGATCCAAGATCGGGATCGAAACTCGAGAAGAAACCCCTAAACAAGCGAGAGAGATCAATTAGGCGAAAACAAAAGAACTCAACAGATGTAACATTTGCTCACATAAGAATGGATGGTGTTTCAATCATGGCCGTTGAGTAATTTGGCCCCACTTTTCAATTTAACGTTCAGGATTTTGACAAATGGTCGTTGGAGATTGGCTTCAGTTCTCTGTTTAGACTAATCTCGATCGTACACGTTTGCATTGACTTCTAGTCAATAGCGTTAGATCAATAATTAATTTATCAACATTAGTCTCCATTTTATAAAAACATCCATATAATATCGTTGACTTGCATTTCTAGGGAAATTTAAAGAATCCAATGAAAAAAATACAAATTAAAAATAAATGCTAATATTTTATAAAATAAATTAAAAAATACACGTTTATTTGAATTAACCGTATGTATTTTCTTATAATTTAAAAGAAAATAAATATTATACTAATATTCAAGTAAGTTATAATTTCAAAAAATAAAATATTTAAATTTGTGCTTTACCTTGAGGCTTTAAAAAGGAGAAGGTTTCCACGCTCTTACTGGTGGTTTGTTCTCCTCCCAATAAAATGTGATGTTTTATTCACACTATTTTTATCCTAAAAAAATTATAATTAATATTATTAATATTCTTGGTCAAGGTCAACTTCAAAGGGGAAAGCTCTAAACAAAAATAGAGAAAAAAAAATTAAAAATGGCAATTTCCGAATAAATAATTAATGAAATATAAAAACGTTTAAAAATGGAAATAGGTATTTCTAATTTTTGACATTTTTACAACTCAAAATCCTATTTTAAGTATGTTTACACGACAGTAAACAAATACCGCCAATATTTTAGGCGCAATTTAAGACATTTTAATTATTTTCCAAATAACTCTACAAAAATATGTTTGTATATATATATATATATTTCAGATAAATCAGTATTTTTTAAAAAATTATTTTTGGGGGAGTAATAACTCAACTGGAATAAATACTGCGAAGAGGTCAAGTTCTAATCTGAAATATTTGTCGAACTGAAGGAAAAATTCAGAATACTCATCTTGGAATCTGAAGTTCTTCGCACATCCGTAGCGAAAAGGTTAGGAAGGAGAGAATTCTTTGATTTGTAGCGTGGGAATTTCATCTGGGTTCTTCGGATGGCTCGAATTTTGTCTCAATCTCAATCTTTCATTTCCTCCAAGATGCAATCTGCGCCTTTGAAGTTATTGCTGTTGATTCCGTCTTCCTTTGTTCTCGGTCATCGGAACCGCTCTACACGTTCTGGTAAGGCCAAGTTCATCGAAATTGACCTTGAATCGTCCTCTTTCGGGGCTGATTCAGAGGTTCTTGCTATTAGGAAGCTGGATGATTTTGTTGAGAGGATTATCGTTGAGCGATCGACTCCTGATTGGGTTCCGTTTGTGCCTGGTTCGTCATTTTGGGTTCCTCCTCGTCGTACTAAGCCACGGAAGGTGGTCGACCTGTTCGATAAATTGGTTGAACCGCTCTCCAAAGAGGTGTCCCCTTCACTTGCTAACTCTCGTGGTTGGCCCTGCTTAGATTTCTTCGCCAAAGGTATATATAAAATCTACGCATTTTTTCCCTATCGCGTTATGTTATACGATTGATATTTGTTTAGCGGTTGATTAATGCGGGGATTGATGATTGAAAGTGGTGATTGTTCGGGGTTATTAATTCTATCGCTTGTATTGATTTGGTGAACCGACTGAAGATTATGTGGTGCTTGGAATTTGTGTTATTTGCTATTACTTCAGCGTGATAGAATTGCTGGATGTTCTTATAAATTGAAGTGGTAAATCAGCCTTCCTCCTGTACAAATTGCTACTGCTTTGTTCGTGCATTTGAATTGGGGTGATGCTTGTGATAGCTTTATTTGATGACTTTGGCTGATCTAATTCGAATTGTATCAATTAGGGAACAGCCGTGTCATGTTCATTAGGTATTATGATGCAATAGCTAGCTGCCCTTAAAAGCTTTGGTTCTTTAGGTTGCAGGGGTTGTTCTTGTGTCTTATAGTTACCAAAATTGCGCCGTAGAAGCCTACTGCAGGGTTTCATTTATCTGTGACCAAGTTTTATGTGTGAATAAAGTTCTTACGGAGTATTGCCCAAACAAGTGGCTAATGTAATTACAGAACAAAGTAGTTTGTATCACTATGACACCATACACATTGGGTTACTGCAATTTCACACAAAAAAATTTGATGTGAACAGTTAGAGGATCGCCAATGTTAAAATGCCTTGACAATGTCTTGAGATTTTAGCTGAATCTTAATTCAGAATCATACTTTGCTGCTGTAGTCTGGATGTAAAATATGCAAGGCCCGAGGGAATATTGTATGAAAATTTATGATTAATGTCAACTGATTACTAGTCACGTGATTTTGTAGTTTCGAGTTGTTAAAAATAACTCGAAAGTCTAGATAACAAAGGCTAGTGCTTTTGATGACATTTAGATTGCAAATTTTCGATTCAGCGGACATTACTTAATTACACAAACTATTCAAATTGTACCTATAGAAGGTAATAGAACAAGCCTTCACTTTGTTGCCTTTTTCTTCATCTATCGCCCCCTGTTTCTTGAGGAATGTGAAATGTTCCGAGTCATTATAGAGAGTGTCATTTGCTCGAACCTCCAACTTATAGATCTGTTTCCTTTCATTGTCTCTTCATTTTTGTCTAATTCCAGTTTCTCTATTTCTTGTTATCAGACCTAGTTCAGGTAGCTGGTTGAGATATGGGAAAATGGTCTGATAATTGTGTGTATTGGCATAGCCATTTGATTTAGTGTAGTTATGACCATTTCATGGTTTATCTGGCCTTAGAATGCAAAACTTTTTTAGTGAGACAAGACAAGCTTTCGATACGGTGTAGGATAGTGTTTCTTTCGTCTAGGTATGGTGCCTTGTCCAAGCAGAAGTATTATTTCAACCATTTCGCCTTAAAAACTGAGCTTATTTGCAGACCATAAAGGCCTATTTTGAACTTTTTGTACCATTTATATTCATGGAATGATGATATTTTTCCTTGGAATAGGGTCTATATCTGGAGCAACTCGGCTGGCTCCAGTAGATACCGAGTTCGACGCTTCAAATGAGGTGGAGTTGGAGATCGAGGTGAAGACATCAACAATCACAGATAACTCAAACCAGCCTGAGGATTGAGAAATATGAACCTCATACCTCATTCACTAATGCAGTTGGGTAGGTAAATTTGGCATTGTTAACCAAGTCCACCGTGTTGAAGTATCTGATATATTATGTGCAGATGGTCTAGCAAGCCAAGGCTCTGTTCTTAATTCATATAGTTCACCTATGCAGGATCATTAGATGGTTGTCAGAGATTCGAGAGACCGAATAGAGTGGAAAGTGACGATGACGACGTGAGGTCGGAGAGAAATGGAATGGCTCTACAGATGGTTCCAGTTCGGAGTTCACTTCCATTTGCTTCGTCTCGACCCGCCTTGTCTATTTAAATCCCCCCAAACTTATGGTTGTTTATGCTTAGTTGTTTTTGGACCGACCGAGTACTTTAGGATCTCCAAATTCACCAGCTTGTTATTTAAATGAGGTGAATTCTCAGGTTCTTGTCGTCCCCTCCACCCCTGTCCTATCAAATCTATACACACAGCCACAGTAAGAAATTTTGCTTATGCATGTATAAAAGTAACTGATAAATTGTTTTACATTTCAAATGCCTGTAAGATCAATCTCAGTTTGTAGTTGCAGTAATTTCCATACTGCATGAAACTTTTGTGCTATAGGTATAAGAAGTTCTCTTTTATAGGTTTGTGTTGCTGTAACACTGAAGATCTGCCTCTTCTGTACTGTTCTATGGAAGGAAGGTTGTATGATCTGTTAGGGACAGTAGTCGCAATGCCCTATAATTTGGTCGAATGCTAGGATCGCCTTGCTTCTCCACTTTTCGATAATTTGTAATCGAATGAATTGAATGATCCAAAACCCGATTATTGGAGAATCTTTTTATTATAAAAACAAAGATTAGAAAAGAAAAAATAAATAAATCTAGGAGTGGTCTTCTCGAGGTTAGTGCAAATAACCATCGACTTGATGTTATTGTAATAGAAGTGTAGCCTATTTGTCCCGTTCAAGCTTTTAAGCTCGAGAATAGCCAATTGACAAGATTGTACGAAAAATGTTTATAAATAAATAATAAGTTTATCTTAAAGGACCTCTATCTCAAAACCTCGTGTCTTATGAGCATGGGTGGCTAAGATCTCGGTCAAGTATTTCAGTGCTTTTAGTCTTATGAGCATAGGTGGCTAAGATCTCGGTCAAGTATTTCAGTGCTTTTAAGTGCGAGGGTCACTTCATGATTTCAAGGATATTTCGTGCTTTCCATCTAGTCCTATTTTCACTATTTTCACTGGAAGATATTTTCTTTTTTAGTATTTTAGTGGAAAACTAATATCATTAAATGTTTTTAATGTTTTGTATTACAAATATTTTGTAAGTTACAAAAGTAAATGTATGCTTTATTAATATAGAGTTCATAATTTTTGTTCAACTGAACAGAACCGAATCAAATTTTTTAATAAACATAATATATATATATTAGGATTCTAATCAATAAATTATTTTTTTAGGGCATTTTGGAACTATATCCAATTTATAAAATAATAAATAAAAAATATAAATGATTGGAAATTTATTTGAGAAACAGCTATTTTATCTTCTTTACAAATATTAGGAGCAATATGATTTGAACCATGATTAGAATATGAAAATATATTTAATTTATGCTCATTTAATAACGATTTAAAACATAATTGGTAAAAAAAAAAGGGATGATTTTAAAAATAAATACATTTATAATCCAAAAATACTTGATGATGACGTGGCATATTCCTATTGGTGAAGCCACGAATATCGCCCTATAAAGCCATTTCCCTATTCTCCCTCCATTAGTTTCGAGGCATAAATTTTTGTTAGTTGAAGAGAAGGGAGTGCTGACGAAGAATTTGGAATTTGATTTGATATACTTCCAATGGCGGAAGGACCGGAAGCGATCCCTGCAAGCTCTCAATCCTCGTCTGCTCCGGAATGGCGGGATGACAATCTTGAACACACTCAGGTGCAATTTTCTTTTTCTCTTTTTTTTTCCTCCAAGTTTTAGGTTCTATTTAGTTGATTTTATTCGAAGTTTCGGACTCGTTTTAGTTCGACCGCGGATTCAATTTCTGGCGACTTTCTCTTTTCTGGCTGTGTTTGATGGAGGTTTCTTCTTGATGTTCTTCCTTAGTGTTATTTATTGACACCTCTGTTGGATTTGCTTTTGAATTGAATATGAGAAACGTGTGAATTTTCTATATAGAGAATCTGCTAGAACAATTTGCACAATGTTTTGGATAAAAATGCTGCTAAATACCGATCGATATTTTCTACAGAGGCTCTACTCGATCAACTTACTCATTTATTTTTGATAAATTGCTGCTAACAACATGAAGCTCAACGTCTATTAGTGGGACTTTTGTGTTCGGTATTTTGCATTCATCTGTCTAAGCAAGAATTTTATTTTGGTATCAAATGATGCTGATGGGGCCCATCGAACTTAAGAGGCACAAACTTTATATCGCTTAGCCTCACTATCGCTCATGACTAGTGTGGTCGGCCTAAAGAACTGATTTCGTAAGAGAGGTATTTTTTTGGAGTTATGAAATCATGTAGGTTGAAAAGCAAGTCGATGATATCACAAGTCAAATGGGCGGGTGAGGTGAGAGTTCCTTCACTGCACTCACAGGAGAGAAGGGATCATCCGATGGATTCCGTGGATACTTTGTGTGAGATCCCACATTGGTTGGAGAGGAGAACGAAACATTCTTTATAAGAGTGGAAACTTCTCCCTTGCAAACACGTTTTAAAACTATGAGGTTGACGACGATACGTGACGGGCCAAAGCGGACAATATCTACATGCGGTGGGTTTGAGATGTTACAAATGGCATCAGAGCCCGACACCGGGCGATGTGCCAGCGAGGAGGCTGAACCCCAAAGGGGGTGGACACGAGGCGGTGTGCCAGCAAAGACGCTAAGCCCCGAAGGGGGTGGATTGTGAGATCCCACATTGGTTTTGGACAAGAACGAAAGGGTGTGAAAACCTCTCCCAAGCAGACGCGTTTTAAAACGGAGACTGATGGCGATACATAATGGGCCACCGCGGATAATAAATGTGGTGCCAACTAAGTTTAATACATGTGGGCAACTGACAGGATAAGTTTGACAAATAAGTTTAATACATGTGGTGCCATTGAAACCTTATTGCATTGGCTTGTCACTTGTGGCTTGGTGCTATTTAAAGTTTAAACATATCTAATCGAAAAGTTCTTTCCTTATTTGTTTCTAGCAATCTGAATTAGAAGAAAGTGCGCATGCAAATGTTTATTTTTATTTTTTATTAATGCCTTTTACAAGTAGAGACATCATTCTTTCTGAATTCTTTAACTTGATTTCAGGTTCGTAAAATTTCCAGTTTCCTCACTCCGAACGGCGATTTTAAAATGATTCCAATCATGTATCCTGTACTTGTTCCTGGATCAGCTCCTTCGGAAAATCAAAATCGTGGAGCTGGCATTTATGCGGTTCCTGCTTTACCATCAATCGGCGGGCCCATTGTTGGAATGGCATCTAACAATCTTATTCCTTTAACTTACAGCATACCCACGTCAGTATCTCTATCATTATTCTACAAAATGAATTAAAATAAGTAATTTGAATGGTATGTTGATGTTCCAATAGCAATTTGATTGAGCCAAACAGCTTGATTTCATTTTGATTCAATGAATTAGTTACAAGCTACCTATTATGATATCACAATCTACCAAGGACGAGTGAGATGAGGGAGGGAGACCTAACATCTCTTGAGTTTGGAGGGTAATTGACTGGGCTGAGATGTACTCCCTTGATTGAATTTTAGTTGCGAGGCCTAGAATATTGGGTGAATGGTTGCATCTTGATGAAGTTGTTATCTTTGAGAATCTTTGTAAATGTGCTCCACAACTAGAAAGGGTCATAATCCTTGGAGCCTTCTTGTTGCACTGGTCCTTCTTGTGTGCACAATTGAAACGAATGGGGACTGTAGCATTGTTGATATCATGCTCTGAGGTACAAGAACTAATGGGCTTACCAGAAAAAAAAAAAAAAAAGCGGAGAAAATTTGTATTTTCATAAATTAAGCTGTTCAAACAGGCTCTATGAGTAATTTCTTTGTTGGCTTGCAATGATATGGCAATATGTGACCTTGAATCTCAACAACTTTTAATGAAGGTCTTTTTCATATTTGACATGATTCGAGGAACAACACACCCAATATCATTTTGAATGTCAACCTTCCATCTCTTCTCACCAATGAATATGCACGACGAGTTGAGATTTTTCTACTTCTTTCGTTTGTGATTTTCAAGTAGCTAGTTTTCAGTGTGATAATATATTTACTTAGAACCAGAGATTCTGTTCGAGTGTATTGACATCTATCTTTTATTTATAACTGTAGTAGATCTGATACCAGTAATAGAACAAGTCCTGAGGGTGGCGCAGCAGTCGAGGAGAACGGGCGAGTAGGACAACAACAACAACAACCAGAACCTCAAAGACAAGTTGTCGTCAGAAGATTTCAAATTGCTATACAGATTGATTTGTTGCTTATACTGAAGCTTGCTGCTCTAATTTTTCTTGTTCATCAAGATGGTTCAAGACAAAGGCTTGTTGTTCTGGTGATTTGTGCTTCACTAGTCTATCTGTAAGCATTCGTATCCTTTAACTTTTGCTAGTTCCTTATATGCATGAATCTAGTTATAGTTGTAGCAGCCATTACTAGCCGTCCATAAGTATTCTATCAAATTTCTGATAAACAATGACCTACTACTCAATGGAGGATGCCCTTTTCCCAATTGACACTTATTGTCTTTGTATGAGTGAAGTTATGTATTAGGCTGATCCTCTCTTGGAATTGTCACAGATATCAAACTGGAGCGCTTACACCATTGATACGATGGCTATCACAAGGCATGCAAATGGCGGCTGCACCGCCCCAACCACCGAGACCAGAAGTTCGGGCAGAGCATGCTCCGGTAGCTCCTCCAGCTGCAAGGCAAGAAGCTCAGAATGCTGCTTTTGCAGGTAAATTTTTGCTTAAATAGCATATTTAGGTTTGATAAACAAAGGTTTTATGAACCACAATTGGCTCGTTTAGAGTCTATCAGTGAAGTTGCTCAGTTTCATTCAAATAAAATGGCAGTGGGACAACCGGGGGCGGAGGAGGTTGAGAACCAACCAGCAAATGAAGGGAACCGAGGCGTTGAAAATGAGAATGTGGCAGAAGGTGGCCCTGGAAATGGCGGTCTGAACTGGTGGGGAGTGGTGAAGGAAATCCAGATGATAGTCTTTGGGTTCATCACTTCCCTGCTTCCAGGCTTCCATAACCACATGGATTAGAGCATTACTGAAAGCTCATCAACCAATATGAACAGGAAACAGTTCTTTCTTTGTTGCTTTTTTGACTTCAAAGGCTATTATTAAATATTTGATGTTGGCAACTTAGCAGCCACGTCTTTGGCCCATGCATACCCAATGTGTACCATTCACATCAACCGGCCCACAATCTGTCAATTTCCCATATGAATGATAAATAAACTGATAATAACTCATAGATCTAAGATACTTAAATCTTTTTTAGGTTGGAAGTTTGCTTTAAATTTGCGTTATTCGTGTTGTGCTGTTGTTAA